AATTTTTTTTCTAGTGGGGGGCGTTCGCGGGGTCACCAGCACAAAAAGGTTGAGAAACACCATCCTAAGGTGTCAGGCCTGCACCTGTTTTTCTCCAGGTCAGGCACAGACCACCCCACCTGCCTTCGGTTACCTGAATCTGGAAGCCCAGACACAAAAACCCAACTGCACACAGTGGAGTTCAGAGCCTGTTTCTATAAAAGAAGGGGGGGGATAACTCAGTGGTTTGAGCATTGGCCTGCTAAACCCAGGGTTGTGAGTTCAATCCTTGAGGGGGCCATTTAGGGAACTGGGGTAAAAATCTGTCTGGGGATTGGTCCTGCTTTGAGCAGGGGGTTGGACTAGATGACCTTCTGAGGTCCCTTCCAACCCTGATATTCTATGATTCAGTGTAGTTGTAGCTGTGTCAATCCCTGGATATTAGAGAGACAAGGTGTGGTAGTCTTTTATTGGACCAGCTTCTGTTGGTGAGAGAGACAAGCTTTTGAGCTACACAGAGCTCTTCTTCAGGACTTCAGGACTGGTGTGGCTCAAAAGCTTGTCTCTCTCACCAACAGAAGCTGGTCCAATAAAAGACACTACCTCACTCATCTTATCTCTCTCTATATAAGAATATTAGGGTAGGATATGGGTACAGACCAATGGGCTGAAAGGGGATGGGAGACTTAAGGGACTTCAACAGGTACAATAAAACAGTAAAAATAACCCCAAATAATTCCTTCCCCCACCTTCAGAGGGGCACAAAACCTAATCCCACCAGTGGTGCACATAAAACTGAGATGCCCTAGCCAGTTGGGGTAGCAGCTCAGGGGCTGCTCAGTCTGGACCTCTAACGTGGTGGGGTATGTTGCTTCTCGGCTACTCAGCATTCCCCCTTCCACCAGGACATACACGGGTATAACTTTGCACCATCAGGCCCAGTCTAGCAGTGCCCATCCCATGTCCTGTTTCCCAGGCTCACATACAGCTACATCTAGGGAATCACAGTCCTTCCTTTCCAACAAGGCCCCCACGCCCACACTCCTGCCAAGATGGCACTCTCACCCCCCTCCCTGACTCCTCCTAACTCTCCTGGAATCCTCCCACTTCTTGCCCCTCTAGGCCATTGATCCTCCAGCACTTGGCTGCTCGCACTGAGGTGCCATGTGCTGACGTATTACATTACCCCTGCTTTTAAAAGGATGTGTCTGTCCATTCCTCCTGCCCCCGCCCCCAATCTAGCTGAAGCTACTTCAAATACTCTTTAAGCTACTTGGGCGGTCTGCTCTGGAGTTCTGAGACTGGAGCCGGGGGGTGGCAGGGTCTCAAGAATGCTCTCTTGCTGAGCCCTGGCCTGAAACCACCTTGAGCGTTTGCACGCCCTCGTTATCCCTATCTTCACTGAGCCGGGGTACGTACTCTAGGCTTTCTAACTCAGGAACATTCCTTCGGGTTGCACGTTGGAATTGCCGGGGCTGTAATAGGGGACCCCCAAGAGTATCTCACCCAGTGCTCCTGTGTATGATCAGTGTCCTTGTGCCATGAATTCACAGAGGGTTTCAGATGATTGTAATGAACCATGAAAGATTGTCCACACATCTCTGAGGACAGCTTATATAGCACCCCATATAGTTTCCTGATGACTGTAAACAGATGAATAAACTTGACACTGCCCCTTTCTTTTAGTCTGTTCTCACACCAACTCTCCAGGCTCAGACATCTGTCTGGTGACCTTGAGATCATAGTATTCCTTCTGTCTTTGTGTGGCTCTACCCTGATGCCTCTTAACAGTCTGGCTCACAGAACTCAAGAACCTGGCTACCTGTAGGACATACTCAGATGGATTGCCAAACTCTTCTGATACATCTATCCCAGATATAAGTTCAATTGGCAGGCAGGTCTCCTGACCAAATAACACCACATAGAATGTATAGCCCCTACATTACTGGACACTGCTCCAAAAGACCATCATAATATAGGGGAGTAGCTCGTTCCACTCACTTCGATTGTCTTAACCAATTATCCACCTTAGAGTGGAAAGCTGAAATAGCTGCCAGATGTACCTTGATAGAAGTAACAGCCAATCCTTGCTGTTTCAGGTACAATAAGTAATTTAGTATGTGTTGAATTGAAGAACAGAATGACTATACTCCAGAAAGGCACGACCAGATGGAAAAACGTCTCCACTTTGAAAGGTAAGTAGCCCTATAGATGGCTTTCTATTATTTAGAAGGATATCTTGAACATCTTTCAAGCAAGATTGCTCCCTAATATCTAGCCAAGGAGCATCCGTTAAATGAAGAGATTGCAGACCATGATCTTGGGAGATAAGATACAAGTCTAGTGGAAGTGAAACTGGAGGTTTCAATGAAAGCACCAGGAGAGTGGAGAAACAGTGCTAATAAGTCTGTACTAGGGCTATGAGTTTGACTCTGGCCTGATCCCGTCTTATTTTCAGTAATACTTTTTGAATGAGTGGGATTGGTGGGAAAGCAAAGAGGAACCTGTCTGACGATATTAGTAAGAATATATCTATCAGGGAACAGGGGCTGTAACCTTGCAGGGAAAAGAAATGCTGACTCTTTCTGATGATCCTTGTCACAAATAGATCTTCCTGGGCAGACTCCCACCATTGGAAGATGTCTACATCTGGTGACATCAGGATGAAAAGACCACTCTGGTGATTCGTAAATGATCTGCTCAGGTATTCTGCCAGATTGTTTTGGACCCCAGTAGGTAAGAAGCTTCTAGATCTATCAAATTGGCAATGCAGATCTCCCAAAGCAGAGTTGCCTCTTGACAGAGCAGAAAAGAGTGGGGCTTCTCCCTGCTTTTTGAGGTAGAATGTTGCTGCTGTGTTGTCTGTGACGACTAACAAGCTGTTTCTCTTGATGTGCGGCAGAAAAACTTGGCACACCAACCTGACAGCTCTCAGCCCATTGATGTTGATGTGTAAAGTTCAGTCTTCTGCAGACCATAAACCCTGAGTCTGTACACAATCCAGATGTGCCCCAACCACCCCAAGGCAGAAGTGTCCATTACTAATGTGAGTGTTGGTTCCGGGCGGGCAAAGGGAACACACATACATTGGCCAGACTTGTCCACCAATCTAGGGAGGCGAGGATGTGAAAGGGCACCCTCCCCACTGAGTCTAGTCTAGATGATGACAGCTTGGTGAATAGACTGAGGCTAGTCAACCTTGTAGAATTCTGAGGCACAATCTGGTATACTGAACCAAATGCCCCAGGAACTTGAAACAGTTTTCTGTCATTGTGACCAGGTGAGCTTTGAGATCTACAACAACTGATCATATTGACTGAAAACTCAAGTCTGGAAGAAAAGTTCTGGCTTGAGAGGAGTCCACTACAGCCACTATCAACTCTGTTCTCTGGACTGGAGACAGGAGAGACTTCTCTGTATTGACTAATAGTCCCAGAGAATTGAATGTTGACTGGATCAGAAACACACTTAACAGTTCCTGCACCCTGGATCAGCCCTTGACAAGCCAGTCATTCTGGTAGGGATAAACTTCTACTCACAATCTTCTGAGGAAAGCATCTACTACTTGTAGAACTTTCATAAAAACCTTGGGAGCTGCTGATGGGCCAAATGGTGGTATGGTAAACTGGTAATGCTTTCAATTGACAAGAAATCTAATGTACTTCCTGTGAGCATGATTGATCACCACATGGAAGTAGGCATCTTATAAGTCGAGGGTGGTATACCAGTCTCCAGGATCCAGGGAAAGGACAATAGAAGCCAGGGTGACTATGTGGAACTTCATCTTTTTTCAGAATTTGTTGAGTTGACACAGGTCTAAAATTGGTCTGAGACTGCTCTTTGCTTTCAGGATTAGGAAATAGCAGGAGTAAAACCCCTTCTCTCTGTGACACTGTGGAACCTCCTCCGTGGCACCTGTCTGAAGGAAAGACTGTACCTCCTGGAGAAGGAGCTGCTTGTGAGAGTGGTCCCTGAAGAGGGACAGGGAGAGAGGGAGGGAGAGAAAGATGGAAACAAATTGGAGGATATATCCCACCTCTACAGAGCTCAAGATCCACTGGTCTGTAGTAATTCAGAATCAAGCACAGAGGTGGGAAAGACAGTTTGCAAATGCAGGGAGATAGGGTCTGGAAATATGGAGACTGGTATGGCATCCTCGACTGATCCATCAAAATGGTTGCTTCACACTTCCAAGGTATCTAGAAGGGCCAGGAGCTGGAGCTGAAATCGAAGGAGGGGGAGGCCTGTGCCTATAACCCCTAGTTTTCTTTTTTGACAGGTCTTGATGAGGAGGCAGAGCAGGATAACAATGTGTCTGCTGAGGCCAATAGTGCTTTCTCACAAGGGCAGGTGTGTACAAACCTGACTTCAAGATGACCCTTGAATCCTTAATTTCCTGACTGTCTGGTCTGAGAAAAGAGAAGGACCTTCAAAAGGCAAATCCTGAATAATATTCTGGACTTTATAGGGGAGACCAGAAGACTGCAGCCATGAGGACCTCAGTATGGATACCACAGTAGCTATGGTCCTAGCTGCTGAATCTGCTGCATCCAGCCCAGCCTGCAGTGAAGTTCTTGCTATTAATCTATCCTCGTTCACTAGGGAGGAGAACTGTCTAGCATTCTCAGGGAGCAGATCTTTGGCCCAAGGAACTGAAACAGCAGTGACAGAAGTTAAGGAGGTGCAGCATGAGCTGCTATCCATCACACAGGCAATGAGAAGACTTCCTGACCTCCTCGACCTGAATGCCTAAGTCTGAAGCCACCCTCTTTAACAATTCCTGATAAGTCTTGTAGTTGGCCGAAGGGGGTGATGTTGCCTCCAAGGAAACCGCCTTGTCCGGAGAGAATGAGGATGAAGCCAAGTCTGGAAGTGGTTGAACTTCTTGCATAGGATGCTCTTCTGGCTCCTCAAGTGCCTCTTGGTGATGTTTGGCACCAGTCCCAGTACTGGACATAACTGGGTTGGTTCGGTGCCAGGACTCACTCAACCTGGGCAAGGGCACTAAGTAGGCACGACCAGGGGAGGATCTAGAACAGGGGTGGGCAAACTTTTTGGCCCAAGGGCCACATCTAGGTATGGAAATTGTATGGCGGGCCATGAATGCTCACAAAATTGGGGATTGGGGTTCGGGGGGGTGATGGCTCCAGCTGGGGGTGCAGGCTCTGGGGTGGGGCTGGGGATGAGGGGTTGGAGGTGCAGGAGGGTGCTCCGGGCTCGGAAGAAGGGGTTTGTAGGATGGGAGAGGGATCAGGGCTGGGGCAGGGGGTTGTGGCGCAGAAGGGGGTCAGGGGTGCAGGCTCCAGGCAGCGCTTACCTCAAGGAGCTCCCAGAAGCAGCGGCATGTCCCCCCCTCTGGCTCCTACGCGGAGGCTAGGTGGCTCTGCGCCCTGCCCATAGTTCCCGGCCAATAGGAGCTGCGGGGGTGGCGCTTGGGGTGGGGGCAGCGTGCGGAGCCCCTTGGCTGCCTCTGTGTGTAGGAGCCAGAGGGGGGACATACTGCTGCTTCTGGGAGCCACGCAGAGCCATGGCAGGAGCGGGGCAAGACCCGACCCCTCTTCCTGGCTGGAGCCCCGGCAGGAGCTCGAGGGCTGGATTAAAACATCTGAAGGGCTGGATGCGGCCCCCCGGGCCATAGTTTGCCCACCCCGATCTAGAAACTAGGAAAAAACCCTAGGGTTCCAAAAGGCCTCTGATAAAGGACGGCACCCCAGTGACCTCCTGGCCACATTACCGTAATAGTTCCTGTTGTGGGGTCACGAGGGTATTCAGAGAAGAAGGATCTATGTGGGGACCTGCAGGGCCTGCTCCAAGGCTGAGAGATAGATAATCCCACCTCAGCATCTGATGGAGAAGACTTCCCTTCCACTGACCATGGAGGGGCTTCCCCTGGTTGGAGCCTCTCTGGAAGACTTTTGCTTCTTCCTAAGCACAGGCCAGGACTCCAACAATCTTGGTGGTGTGCTTCTGACTGAAGTAGCAGCACTCGGCACTGACAGGACAGCTCTGAGGGTGGTCTCAGCAGCGCTCAATTAACGGGAACTTCAGCTTAGCCTCCCTATCTTTTTGCATCCTTCTCTTGAATTCCCAGCATATTTGGCACCAGTCCTTCATGTGCGCTTTGCCCAGGCACTTAAGACAACTGCTGTGTGGGTTGCTCACAGGCATAGATTTTGAGCAGGAAGCACATGGCTTGAAGCCCGGTAACTGGGGCATGCCTCGGTGACAGCAACAGAACCTCAAAACAGGGAACAACAATAAAATCAAAACTCTCTTTTTTGTTTTTAAATGAGAAAAATTACTAAAACTGGCTAACTATAACAACTACTGACTACTACTGACTACAACTAGACTACACAAGGCTGAGAGAAACTGTTCTAACAATGAACCAGGGTTCTGTAACGGGGACACTCATCTCTTGAGCACCTCCTGCTGCTGCGTGTGGTACTGCAGTCCTTTTCCTGATCCTGGTGCCCCCATAAGTTGTGGACCTCGTTTGGTGGGTGTTCAGTGCCTCGGCCCTCTAGCCGGGTCACAGCATCAAAATGAACCCCTTCTGGGGTAACGAAAGGCCAACAAAATTGTCTGTCTGCCCTCACCATGGTCTTCAGCCCCAGCTCTGGGCCCCTTAAATTCAGTCCTTTGCTCATGCTTCTAAACAAGCTTGGTCTCCTTCTTGGGGTTTACACCACTTCACCTGTGGATGGTGGGAGAACTTGGGCCCGCCCACTGCTCCGAGTTCCAACAGCAGCCATGTACCACTTACTGCAATCCTCGGCTGCTGTTTCCCTGGGCCTCTTCCCACCTGGCCCCTTTATCATCACCCCTTACCTTAGGGTTAAAGTCCTCAGGTTCTCTCTTGTCCCAGCTTAAGCAAATGCAGCCAGAACCAAACTCCGGTTATCCCTCAAGCTCCTTTGGTCAGAGAGGATTCCCTTCCTTGGCCCTCTGGTTCTGGCCAGGAACTGACTTGCTAAGGCCCTGAACTCCTTTTATCTGAGCCTGCTGGGCTCTGATTAGCTGCAGGGATCCCACTGCAGGCTCCAAAGAATACTTGAGGGCATCTGTTAGGTGCTTATAGTCCTGCCAAACCTCACTGCTAAGTCTCTGATAGGCTTCCCCTATGAGCAATAGACTCAAAAACTTCAGCTTAGTAGACTCAAATCACCCAGTCAGCTCAGCTGCCATTTCAAACTGATCATGCCAATCACTCCTATTGCACCGCACTATAAAGTGCCAGGTTAAATATGGGCTCTGGAATCCTACTTGGAGGTGACATATCGGACCCTTCCAAGGGGTACCCGTTCTTCTTCATCACTCATTTTCTTCCTTTCAAATGTCTAATGACAAACACACACATGTAAAACATCTCTACAATTAAGAAAGCAGTTTATCTTTCATCTTATGGTCTGGACCACAGACGTCCACGTAGCTCAGTTGAGGGATAACCCCCGCAATCCCATCATTGCCACCAATTTGTACCAAACTCTCCCTGCTTCTCTGCACTGGACATAGGTGGTAGTAGATGTCCTAAGGTTACTTTCCTGCACTCATTTCTCTCTGGGTTGGGCACAGACCCCCTTTGCTTATGTGGATCCAGAAGCCACTGGCACAAAAACCCAATTGCACACAAAGGAGTTCTGAGACCATTGATATAAACAAATATTTTGCAAGGAAATGGGTACAGACCAATGGGCTTAACGGGGATGGGGATATAAGGGAATTCAACAGCAACA